AAATGAATCTTCTTTTCTATTTTTTTATTAAAAGGAAGGAAAAACCACAAAGTCAATCATATTAGTGCAATACAATAATTTATGGATTGGGAATATAAATAAATTTGTCTCTAACGTAAGGTTAACCGTTAAGATATCTGTTCCTTCTTCAAAGTTCGGTAGTTCAATCTTCGATCATTGCATTTGCGCCTCAAAAAATTTTTAATGAAAAATTTGTGGATATGATTGTTTACCTATCTTAATAATACTTGTTATTTGTCAACTTGAACATATCAAAAAAAAAAAACCTTATTTACTTGAATTGTTTATATATCTTATTTTGACTAATATATAATTTCGCACTTCTAACTAATTAAAAATAATTGACATAAACATATATAGTAGTTAAAGATGTCTATTTATTTCTTTGAAATATGATGTTTGAATCTCCATTCTCATATGTGTTATATATAAAATAAAATAAAAATGTATTAAGGAAAATAATTTATTGTGAGTTTGATTTTTTAAAAATAATAGAAATTCTAATCATAAAGATAATTATGGATCGAAATTAAGAAGTACTATTTTGGTAATGTATTTTCAACTTTTAGTTCATGTTTATTCTTTTACTTTTAAAACGATCGTTGCTGTCCATGTACTTTTAAAAAGTGATTAATTTGACCAATATTTACAAAATTTATACCAAATGAAAACTCTTTAATACAAAATTTACGGCTATATTTCAAGAAATTTAGTAAGTGAAGTAGTGTGTTAAAATTATGATCAAAATAAATGAAAATTAATGATAAAAATTTTTTTTTCTTTTAAATATAGGAACCAAAATAATATAAGAACTAAAATAATAAAAATTAAAAATATAAACACAAAAATAAATATTTTGAGAATCCAATAATCAAAATAAAAAATAATATTATTCAATCCTATATGGTCATGTTATTTAATAATGGTTGGTAGAGGGTCAAAGGGTAAAATGATTACAAACATGTTGGTGTTGCCGTGGAATAAGGGAAGTGAATAAGATTCTCTCTTTATTTCAAAAATAAATAAATAAATAAATAAAATAAAATAAAATAGAATAATATTCTCTCTCTTTTTTAAAATGATTTTTAATTTCGAGGTGGCTTCCACTATTCCTTTGAATAAAATTCCCAAAGTAACACAGTTTAAATGGTAAATTGGAGAGAATATTGTAATTCTAACGGTTACTAGTTTTTTGATACGTGGTATCTTAATTTTATTTTATTATATATTTATGTAAATCTAATTAAAAAAGTTGGACATCTATTAAATATTATAATTTTTTATATTTATCTAAAAATAAATTATCTATAAAATAGTAGGTGATTTTTTAATATAATATAATTTAATAATTATTTATTATTTCTAAAGTTTATTAATAATTATTAAAATAAATAGTTCACCATTTTTTAAGTTCACGAACTTAGCTTAAAATTGTAATTAGTTTTTTTTTTTCGTCTTTTAGAAATAAGACATATATATGTTGAAATTAATATATCTTTTAAATGTTATTTAACCTACAATCACAATTATTTTTATTGTTATCAATGAATAACTAAACATACATGTATAAGTGAAATGGTGGGATGTGAGAATGTCAAAATTACTCAAATCAAAACATGCATAGGTAAGTTAAAGTATAAAAATGTTAAAGAGGATTTACAAACAACATAATTATTACTCAATTACTAAAGATAAACATGTTTTTAATAGACATCAACTATTTAATGTAGCAATATTTATGTTGGTATCTTTTTCTTTTCCTCTTTTTAAATGTTTAAAAAAACTAATGTAATTGTTCTTAATAAAAAAAATCAAGATTAATATTGTATGTATATAATATATACATCTCATCAGTATTGAAGATCACTAAATTACAATAAAATTGAAACGTGATCTACTACACTAATTAAGAAATCTTAAAAATAAAAAATCGTGAGATAAAAGATAAAAACAAATACATGAAGAATAAAGAAATAAACCTTAAAAAAATCGTCTGCATATATAATATTTAATAAAATAAAGATAATATTGTCCAAAAAAAAACATAATAATTCTTATTATAACAAAAAAGATCAACAAATACAAAATAAAATACATAATAATATAGTAATCGTAAAATAAATAAAAAGACAAAACTAATAACCAATATACACGTTGTTGAAGATAGATAAACATCATTATTCAATTTTATCAAAGTAACATTGTAACCACTCAAACTTACGAATTGAAATATAGTCTTGATATATAAATTTCATGTCGACTTGAATGTATCAGACATGCGTTAAGTTGTTTTCAATATTAGAGAGACTTTAAAGCAATAAATAAGAGAGAACTAAAAAAATGGAGATCGACTATTGAGAATGAATGATGGAATAAAATGCCTTTTATATTAGTACATGGGAAAAAGTTACAATCTTTTAGAATTCCAAACTTTTCAAAGTAGAATTTCAAATAGGTNAGACCCATACATAAATGAAGGGCATGGATAGTATTAAGTTAAATAATTAGGGATAATATTTTCAAAAAATGTTTCTTCCATTACATTGATCTACCAATATTGTACTAAATTATCATGAACTTATTTTCCATTAAAAATAAGGAGTTTGGGATGATTTTTTAGAACAAAATTTCAAAATTGTTTTTAAATTTTTCAATATCATTTTTGAAAATCATATAATCATCCCTCAGGTTAGTTTTGCAGCGTGTTGGAATGCTTCAACTTTGCAGCTTGTTGAAGTTCTTCGACTTTTGCAGCACGTTTAGTTCTTCGGTCGGTCGCTTGGCGAAGAGAGGGTTCAGAATTCTTGAAGTCTCGTAGTCTTCAAGTCTTGTTAGTTCTGGATACTTCACACTCTAAACGGCTGTAGATGACTCTGAATGCACCGAATGCTCTGAATCTCCAATACTTCTGGATCTTTTTCTCCTTTTTTTCTTCTTGCTCTCGACTTCTTCTCTCCCCTTTCTTGTGGCTCCTCTTCTTTCTTCTTTCTTCTTTCTTCTTGCTCCCCCATCGATGGGTGACCATCTATTTATAGAGTCTTGGTGGGTCCTTTATGGGCAATCGACTTAATGGACTATTATCTTGGGCCCAGTCTTTCATGAGTTTTCATCCAATTAATTGATTTCATCGGACGACCATAAGAGAGACACGTGACACAATTTGATTTCTTGATTTAAAAATTAATTTAGGACATGTGTAAATTTGTGATTGGTCCTAAATATAATTTTAATTTTGTGACCTGCATTTAGTGATTAGCCGAAATTTCTCCGTCAACAATAATTTTTTTTATCTATTTTTTTCCAAATAATCCAAGAATTTTTTTTTTCTTGGTATCTATTTCTAGCTGTTTTTTTCTTTTCATTTTATATAGTTGTTCATTTTGTTTCTTCCATTTTATTTACTTTTTTTTGTTATCACTATCACATTTGTAAAAAACGTTATAATTTTGTATAATTATTTATTTTAATTTTATATCAAGTTAATAGTGTTTAAACAAGTATTATTTAAATGGTTTTCACTTTGTAATAAAATGTAATTGTCAAATAAAAATAAGGGAAATTTAATAGTAATGTTTTTTTTAGATACTTTAATAGTAATGTTGATGATAATTAAGTAATTAACTTTTTTAGGATAATTAAGTAATCAAATTTACTTAAGATAGTAAATAATGAAAAATTAAATATAAATTATTAATAATATTTTCTGTATGATAAAATTTATGTTAAATGAATTTGTATACTTTTTATTTAGACTTTGATAAATATTATAAAAATATTTTCTTAGATAATTTAATATTTATTTCAAAAATTAATCGTTGGAAAAAATTGGATGGACAAATGTGTTACAAATATTTTATATATCCTTAAAATAATATTTCCTAATTTCATAAGAAAATTGACTTTTGTAAAATAATTTAAATTACATTTAAATTATTTAAATTAAATAATTAATTTTTAAATTATATATATATTTTTAAAGAAAATTAAAGTACAACCAAAAGTCAGTTTAACAAAATACAAAACGGTTGTTGACCTACAAAATTATCAAAACATTGACTACGTGGTGGATATTAATATTCATGGGTTACATCTCAAAATCAATTGGTAATGAGAGAAGTAGTCGATGTCTATTATAAATTATTGGTCGATTTTCTTTTCAACGTGGGATCCTTAATCGAGATAGGTGTCTTAACCAACTGAGCTAAGTTGAGGTTGACACGTAATAAGTGGTCAGAGATAACCAACTATAATTATTATTAAGGTTAATTAAATAATTTATAAGTTCTTTTTACTCCTATATTTGTACTTAATTATTATTTAAAATCTTATATTTTAAATACTTAAAAAAATTACGTGCGTACATACATTTTATAAAACCATGCTATACCCTTTATACTTCTTAATTTCTCCATTGACAAACGGACTTATATATATTTTAGAATTTCTACTCTAAATTTGCAATCACCTAATTATATATATATAAACATATATAAACATATATAGAGAGAGAAGTTATTTCAGTTTCTTTTAAAATGCTTCTGCTCTTGATATTTAAAAATATTATATCTTCAATTTTGTACTCTTAAATGATCTCTCTAAGACCTTCAAAGAAATCAATTTTATTGAAAACTTTAAATTTTCATATTACATTTGACAAAAATCATAGAAATTATTCCTATTTTGAGATTTCAATTGCAAACTTAAAAGAAGACTTAAAACAAAAATCTACATTAGTATCAAATAATAATCATTTTTTTTGTTCGTATTCTTGACAGCAATTTTCAGTTAAATCCATACTTCAATTTTTTTATTACGTCGTTTGTTGCACATTACAAGGTGTGGCGATGCATATTTATCTCAGACAAATTTAAGGAATGAATTTTGATGAGAAATGAGCGATAGAAGTGGTCATAGCAATTAATAAAGGAAAGGGTAATAATAGGAACACACTCATTGGACAAATTTAGCAATATTGTCGATAATGATGATTTTCTCCACGTATATAAAGAGGGTTAGATGAAAGGATTCTTTGGAACATTCATATAAATTTCTAACTTAGTACTCTACACAACGAGAAAATAAGAAAAGTAAAAGGGAGCTTAAAGGATGGGGCTCAAATCAAACTTTGTCACGTTACCATTGTTGTTATTGTTGTTGTCTACCGCTAAAGGTCAATCTGCTGGTGGTGCTGCTGCTGCTGGTGCTGCTACTGGTGCTGCTGTTGGTGCTACTGCTGGAGCTGTTGGTGCTGCTGCTGGAGCAGCTGTCGGTGCAGCTGCCGGTGCTGTTGGTGGTGCGGCTGGTAACGCTACTGGTGGTGCGGCTGGTAACACTACTGCTGGTGCGGCTGGTAACGCTACTACTGGTGCTGCTGGTAATGCTACTGGTGGAGCCGGTGGTGTTTTTGATGTCACCACCTATGGTGCCAAACCTGACACCGATATTACTGCGGTAAGTATATGTAATTAGTTTGATAGACCATTTCTTTTATACATAAAACAATTTTTTATTTAATATAATAATTCAATTTACAGGCTTTAATAAATGCCTGGAAGGAGGCATGTGCGTCGACCACTCCAAGTAAAGTGTTGATTCCAAAAGGATCTTATCAATTTACTGGAGCCACTATCAACGGTCCTTGCAAGAGTTCTATTGAGCTTCAAGTCGAAGGGACGTTAAAAGCTCCGCCGGAACCAAAAGGAGAAGGGTGGCTTTTTGTGGAATATGTTGATTTTTTGACAATATCAGGCACTGGAGTCTTTGACGGCAATGGAAAAGCAGGTTG